GGATGTGCAGGTTTGTTACATAGATAAACGTGTGCCATAGTGATTTGCTGCACAGGTCAACCCGTCACCTAGGTATTAAGCCCAGCATTTATTAGCTGTTCTTCCTGACACTCTCCTTCCCCCAACCCCACCCGACTGGCCGCAGTGTGTGTTTTTCCCCCACCATGTGTCCGTGTCTTCTCAATCGTTCAGCTCCCACTTATAAGTGAGAACAGAGCATCATGATTTTCATTGTCTATCAAATGCTAGAAGACTACTCTGTCTGCGTTTGTTACTATGTTTGCCCCATTTTTCTAGCTATTCTAACATGAATTTAAACCTACATCAATGGCTATTTCCTCAACATTTGGAAACAACAGATACTTATTAGAAAGAAAGTATTTTATCCTTCCTGGCTATAGATCCTACATTCCTCTTATATAACAATCCTAATTCCCTCATGTTATCCTAATCAATGAAATGATTTCACTTATTTTTCAAAGAAGTAGCTATTTTACTACAAAGCAGAAATCGCAAGGCATGGGGTGGGCACTGTTATACTCCATCAGTCAGTATGTAAGGGAAATCAAACTGTCTGATTTTGAATCCTGCTTCTACTTTTTACAACCTTGGACAAATTACCGATCTCCTCTTTCACTAGATTTAGTATTTATAAAATGGAGATACTAACATCTACTCATAGATTACTGTGAGGTTTAAATAAGAAAATATGTATCAAGCATATTTTTCTGGCATGTAATAAGCACTCTAAAATTTATGCAGTGATGAGGATAATGATCATAGACAATCTGACAGCATCTTATCCGAAGGAAAAAATGCGCATTTCCTTTGAGTAAGTGCTACTGATTCTAGGAATGTGTCCTAAGGAAACAATAAGTCAAATGTTTAAAGGTAGGCACAAGACTACTTATGGTAGTAAGCAATATTTTTTACTGGTCATACAGCAAAAAATTAGAAATAACCTACCTGTTCATGAAGAGAAGTTGGTGAAATAAATTATGGGACATGCATACAGTGGAAAACTTTGGAGACAAAATAGTAAAATAGTTACAAATATAGGCTTTGAATATAAATTTTGACAAACTGAGACTTCTCTCATCTCTTCAGAACACCCTGAGTTCTTCCTGGCCTTTCTTCCTTGCTTTTCATTTGTGTCAGTCAGCTCTTGCTCATATAGCAATCTTAAAATCTCAGTGGCATATAATGGTGAGCGTTTAGTTCTCACTGTTGCAGGGCAGGTGAGGCAGTTCCGCCTCAAACCACAATGTCTAGGACAGCTCTGTTTTGCACTGTGGCCGACTAGCTAAAAAATGTTCTTGTGTCAGCAGTCACAGGAGAACAAGAGGATGAGAGATAATGTGTGAAGCTTCCTAAGTGCTAAGTTTGAAATGAGCACCATGTCGTTTCCATTCACATTTCGCTGGCCAATGAAAGTTGCATGAGGAGCCACAGTCAAGAGTCAGAGAAGTACCCTCATGAGGCTGTGGAGAGAGTGTAGATTCAGGGAGTGGTGAGAAACTGGGGCCAGTACGTCAATCTACAGCATGATTTGTCATTTTTCGTTCTCTGCCAGTAAGATTGCCAGTCTCTCTGCACTCATTGAATTCATCCTAGTTTCTGTTTAGCTCTCTTTCTTTCTTACCACAATACCTAAAAATCTTTTTGTAGGGTTACAGCTCTGTCTCAGGAGCCACCTCAGTTTGGTGGCACAGAGCTCACCACTGGTACTCTAAAACTCTTTTCTTGAAGACATTCCTATCCATGGGCATGGGTTATTTTTCGTCTCCATGGCATCCACATTAAACATTTAATCACCTTGGATTTAGCCAAAATAAACACTCCAAATTTATGACGTCTTTCAGGAAGAGAGTGTGTTTACTTTTTTAACCAAAATAGGAGATTGATCCTGTCTGTGTCCCCAGAGGAGCAGAGGCTGGTTTGCGTTAGGGCAGCTCTTGTAGATGTGTGACTTTTCCCATGGCCTCATAGAGGCTGATATAGAAACTTCTGGATCCAAAGGATCGTTTGGAGGCATTAGCCAGGCATTGAACCCATGATAAGAGTGAGGTTTTGCCATATTCTAACCCTAAGAAACAGAAACGGTAGAAGGGAAAACTAATCAGAATGGAATATCAATACAACTTTAGCCTTTTCCCTGGATTCTGAGAGTTCATAACCTAAAAATTAGAACTTCAAAGTGGGAGAGATGGGCTAAGAGGTATGAGCATGGGGAAAGCATGTTTCAGAATTCAAGATGTATTTCCCAGAAAAGGAACAGTCAGAAAAGGCAATTTCCTTCCTCTTTTCTAATTTGGCTCTGGAGCCCCAGCAGAATCTCTTCAATATCTTGCATGTTACAGATTTCGCTGCTCCCACCAGCTTGGAGACAACATGTGGTTCTTGACAGCTCTGCTCCTTTGGGGTAAGTTGGACTCAGAGGGGTAGATAGAAGGGTACAGGCTGTGGCTGTGGGGAGTCAAGAGTTTTGTCTTCCTGTGGTAACTTTGGGTAGAACTCATGAGTGTGGAGACAACTTGTATCTGTGCTTCCATGGTTTATTAGAGTTTATTTTATCAAAAGGATGGGAAGGGGGACCCTGAGGTAGCATTAAGCCTGGAAACACCACAGTAAAGTTTCATTGATAACCACCTGTAGCTTGTTCAGTTCTGTTAGTACTGGATTTTGAGAGACAGAAATAGAAACTCAAGAGACCTGAGTTGATCCCTCAGAGTCTACATTAATTCTGTGTCCCCAGTTCTCTCTTCCTCATCATTTTCCCTGGACCAACTGATATCTTTATTCTCTGATCTCTTGCAGTTCCAGTTGATGGGCAAGTGGGTGAGTGACCTCTAACTCAGCTTCTTCTCCTATGCCACTTTCCTACTTCCAAAGGTTGGATCCTATTAACCTGAAGAAGAGCATATAGGGAAAGCAGAGAAAGAAGAATGATTCATCAATTATGTAAAATCTCCCATATTCAGAGCATGATTTTCATAAAAACCATGTTTTGTAAGCTTTCTTTCTAAAGTTCCCTGAATGAGCTCTTCCCTCTGAACGAAATGCCTAAATATATCTATAATAGCAGGAAAGGGCCAGAATTGCACAAACACTGAAGAAGTCTGCTGGGTTTCCCAACATCCCCTAAACCAGTCCCCTTTGCAAGAAAGCAGAGTGGGTTTTTTCTCCTCAGAAAGAGCCAGGCAAATACTGAAAGCTTCAAAGAGAGGAGTTTGAACCTCTGTTTCCAACGCACAAGCTGCGGAAGCCCTGCTTTGTACTCTCAGAGACTGTAGCTCAGAGGACAAGGAACACAGCTCCACTCGGCTTGCCCAAGTCTAAAACCCTGCTTCATTGCTCCCAACAGGAAAACCTACATCAGTAATTTAATCCTCAGCAGCCCCAAATTCCCAACACCCAGATGAGAATTTCATAACATGAACAGAGGTCTCTGCAGCAGGAATCGGACACTCGTAAAGGCTGGCTTTTGTAGGTGTCCACTTGCTTATTTTTCAAGTAAATCTAAATATGTATTTTTCCCTTGTGCTATCCACAAAAGCCTTACCAGTCACTCAGAGCCCTCCCCTTTACTCCACTTGATCTTTTTCTTTTTCTTCTTGTAACCTCCAAGTAGATACCACAAAGGCAGTGATCACTTTGCAGCCTCCATGGGTCAGCGTGTTCCAAGAGGAAACCGTAACCTTACAGTGTGAGGTGCCCCATCTGCCTGGCAGCAGCTCCACACAGTGGTTTCTCAATGGCACAGTCACTCAGACCTCGACTCCCAGCTACAGAATCACCTCTGCCAGTGTCAAGGACAGTGGTGAATACAGGTGCCAGAGAGGTCCCTCAGGGCGAAGTGACCCCATACAGCTGGAAATCCACAGAGGTAATTATGACTTGGACCAGGAGGGCCGGAAACCGCAAGGTATATCCTCTGCGTTCTCTCCTTTCTGGACACCAGATGTGTGTGTGTCAATTTATCTGATGCAGGTCTCAGCACTATGTACCTACCAGGTGAAACTAAATCAATATACTCAAAACATCACAGCAGGGTCCTTAAACTATGTACCAACAGAACCTCAGCTGGGCCAGCTGTAAGTAGGATGTCTAGAGTGAGACTTAGGCCCTAAGATTGTATCATTATTCCAAATGTATGCCTGCACATAGTAAATGATAATAATTCAAATAAATGGGCAATAATGAACAATGAAATATCTTCCTCCCACCCAATACCCTAGGTCTGCAGTCACCTTCCACAGAAACAAAACTGTGCATATATATATACACACACACATATTATGTGTATATATACATATTATGCATATATATTAGCATTATTATATATAAACTACATATATATACACACGCATATACATAGTTTTAAAGCTGTGGTTGGTAAGAACACTTTTTAAGTATTGTCCTACATCTTACTTTTATCACTTAATAGAAATCTACTTTAAAATGTCTGCTGCACAGCTGTAGCAGAATTAATTTAACCATTCTGCCTATTAGCAAATTTTTAAGATGTTCCACTCTTTTGATTTTATAAGCACTGCTGCAAATAATCATCTTTATACATACATTCCTGGGGCACATTTCATAGTATATCTGTAAGATAATCTGGACATGGACTTATTGTCATATTTTAATAAATGGAAGCAGAAAAGTCCACCACCCAATGAAACCTGTAAGGAGTTTCTATTCATCAAGAGATGGAGACTGCAATCTTCAGGGAAAAATGCTTCATTCAATATGCAAGACAAAATAACCAAAGGTATTATTTAGTTATTCAGAAGTACTGAGTTTAAACCTCTTTGAAAGTGATCATGCAAAAGTTAATCCACACTAGAGGCAAAATTACCTTTATGCAGACGTGGTTGCTGTTAGAGGAAATGTGTTTTAGCCAAGGAAATGTTGAGAATGTCTGAGGGAAGGCTTGATATTTCTCGTGTGTCCCTTAGGTCTCTGTAAATAAGTTCTTAGGATGGAGAGGTGAGGGAAGCTGACAGAGCTGTTTCCTTTTTTTTTTTTTTTTTTTTTTTGAGACAGAGTCTCACTCTGTCGCCCAGGCTGGAATGCAGTGGTGAGATCTTGGTTCACTGCAACCTCTGACAGAGCTGTTTCAACAAGACACTTTGGACAGTTCAAGCAGAAGTGTCTCATGATTCAAGTGACAACAAAAGGACTAGGGCTGGGATGAGGCAATTTTCTTCACCTCTACATAGACTCTAGGACACCCACATCAGTGACTTACTGAAAATCATATCTTTTTTACATCACATTTTCATGTGAATTTTCGTTGAACTGTAACTTATGTACAGCAAGCCACTGTACACCACAGTAAATTTTTGCAAAGTAAACAGCATCCCGATCTATTTTAGACATTTCCAGCACCTCAGAAACTCCTTCTTGCCCATTTCTAGTCCACCCCCTGACACTGACTTCCAGCACCATAGGTTTTTTGCCTCTTTTTGAACTTCATATAAAGGGCTACAGTATGGGACAGGATGTACTCTTTTGTGTCTGGTTTATTTTTCTCAACATTATGATTGTGAACTGTATACGTTATAAATTGAAGTTCATTTGTTCTTATTACTGTATATTTCATATTTTCCCGTTCTGCTGAGGGACTCGGGCTGTTTCTGGTTTTGACCTCTTACAAATAGTAATGCCGTGGACATTTTTTAAACATGATTCAAATATTTTCTACCATTACTAGTGTTTGACAGTTTCTGATGGAGGTATGTTACAATTTCCCACTCTTGGATATACAAATGCAAATTAAGCATTTCCTTAATGACTATGATATTGACCATCTTTCACATGTTTATTACCTATTTGGGTATCCTTTTTTGTAAGGTCTTTTTGACAATTTTTCTATTGTCTGTCTTTTACTGACTTATAGGAGTTATTTATATATTCTGGATATAAGTCCTTTTTCAAGTGTTTTAAATATCTTCTCCCACTCTGTGGCTTTTCTTTTCACTATCATATTATAGTTTTGTTTGTTTTCAATGAAGAAGACTTGTTAATTTTACTACAGTACAATACACCAAAAATTTTGGTTGGTGCTGTCTATGCCCTATTTTAAAATGTTTTGCCACAGTCAGCCATGGGGAATTCAATTGCAGCTCACTGACTCTGAGTCATTTCAATTTAATCAGTATATGCTAAGACCAAGAAAATGAAGCTGGTTGGTGGACCCGGGTCCTAATCACATGGCTGACTCCAAAGTCATGAAGATGGGGGAATGATTGCTGAGTAGGAAATTAGTAATGTCTGCTAAAAGCTGCATCTCGTGAATTTTGATATATAATACTCCCACTACCATTTAAGGTTAAAAATTTATAAATTTCCATTATACATTATTTTATTCATGAATTATTTAGATTTTTTTGGAGGGTAGTTTTTTGTTATTGATTTCTCATGTTATGGCACTTTGGTTAGAATTTGTGTTAAATATGGTATCAGTTCATTAGTATTTGTTGAAAATTGCTTTGTGGCCTAATTCACACTTAATTTTTCTAACATTGCATGTGTGTTTGGAAAGCATATGAATTTTCTTTCTAAAGTAGAGCATCCCACAAAATCAAGCCTATTAATTGTGTCATTCAAATATTTTCTACCATGACTAGTGTTTGACAGTTTCTGATGGAGATGTGATACCATTTCCTACTCTTTTGGACATATGAAGCAAAGATGGCAGTGTTTGGGCAGTGCAGTCTTTCAGCACCTCCTGGCTGTGGGTGGGAATAAGGGAGGGAAGATAATTAATTATATTCGGAAGCATTATATCCGTATCCATGACTGTAAAATTCATGCTACGTACGGCATAGAAACAATTGCCTTCCAGTCTTAGATAAGTTCTGGAGGGGGGAAAAGCACTATTGTCTCTTCTCCTTCTTGGTCTCCTAAGAGCCCCATTTTTATTTAGCCAAACCAACTGCCACTGGAGAAAAGAAAAGTAGTTGAAACATTTTTGGTTATGTGTAGAGGTGTACGTCAAAAGGAAGAACCCATTGACTTGGAGCTTGTTTTGCTAGTGGTATCATTGATCTTACATATGTGAGTATTCATATCAATGTAGTGGGATGTTTATATCTGGATGTTTGCCCTTCTGTGTGTTTGTCTTAGGATGTGTGGTCCTATTAACAAATTTGTCAAGAGTTGGAGTGTATTTGTTTTATATTGCTGTGTAACAAGTTTAGCAGCTTGCAACAACATACATTTATGATCTTCCTGTTTCCATGGGTCAGGACTCCCATCACAGCTTAGCTGAGTGCTCTGCTGAGGGTCTTCCAAGGCTGCAGTCAGGGTGTTGACTTTGCTGTGTTTCTTTTTTCAGCTCTTCTAGGCTCACAAGGTCACTGGCAGAATTCAGTTCTTTGTGGTTCTAGGACTGAGGTTCCTACTTTCTTGCTGCACGTCAGTAGGGGGCCACTCTCAGCTCCTAGAGGCCCTTGACTTGTGGTGCTCTCATAGGTCCTCTCCTGGCATGGAAGCTTACTTCTTCAAGTTCAGCAGGAGACCTTCTCCATCCAGGCTGCTAAGATAGAGTCTTACATAATGTAGCAATCCCAAGAGTGACATTTCATCACCCTTGTCATATTCTGTTGGCTAGAAGCAAGTCATAGGTTCCACCCACACTCAAGGGGATTATACAAAGGAGTGGGTCATTGGGATCATTTTAGAATTCTGTCTACCATGCTGTATGAACTGTTTTTGTTTCAATCAACTTCTGAGATCTGGAAAGGGAAGATAAGAAAGGGCCGTGTGCACAGTTGCCAGTAAAGATTGCTTTTCTTTCCACTGAAGCTAAAGATATTTGAGGAACTGGATATAGGCCTGAGATTTAGCAGAGCTCTGAGGCTGGATGTTGCAAGGAGAAAAAACAGAAAGCCCACAGGGCCAAGCTTGGGCCTCCTTGTACCTCCTCCACTGTATACATACATTTTGGGTTCACTTTTTTCAGACTGGCTACTACTGCAGGTATCCAGCAGAGTCTTCACAGAAGGAGAACCTCTGGCCTTGAGGTGTCATGCATGGAAGGATAAGCTGGTGTACAATGTGCTTTACTATCAAAATGGCAAAGCCTTTAAGTTTTTCTACCGGAATTCTAAACTCACCATTCTGAAAACCAACATAAGTCACAACGGCGCCTACCACTGCTCAGGCATGGGAAAGCATCGCTACACATCAGCAGGAGTATCTGTCACTGTGAAAGGTATCGTATAGGAACAGTCATAGAACTGATAGTCCCTCCCCCTGAGGGACCATCATAAATAATCTAAACTCCTCACTTTAATCTACAAGCGAAGAAACGGGGCTCCAGAGAAGTCAACTGCCTTACTAAAGGCCACACCATGACCAGTAGACTGAGGTCTCTGGGTCCCAGTCCATTACTCTTTCCGGTGTACCGCAGCCCCCATCAATAATCACAGGAGCTAATGTCCGTGTCAGGGCATAATGGTGGTCCATTTCATCCATCTTATTTTAGTTGTAAGGAATAGAGACTCACTCTAGGTAGCTAGGAGAGTTAGAAAATAATGCCATGGAATCTCATGAAAGCTCCACAGAAAGAGAAACCTGGAAAACATGAGGAACAGGTTATACTGTCCATCTACCTCTCAGGGACAAAGCGGCCTCGGTGGCACCACTTCTTCCTGAGCATCTGCAAGCTAAGCAGTTTGCATATGGCCTTGTTCTGACCCTTTCACAGCCTTTCCTCCTAATACAATCACTAGCAATTTTCTCTGTCTGAAAAAAAAGAAGTTCACTCCTGTGGGAAAGAAATTATTGTTCCAGATTATCCTTCTAAGTCAGGAACACAAGTAATGAGTCACTGAAATGGCAAATGTGTGAGTCAGGGTCCACTCCTAGTTGACCACTGCCAGAAGGGCATGGTTATCTACCAGATGACATAGCCATTCAGGGAAGGATGGACCATGTAGAGCAGGGGTTCGCAACCCTTACTGGTCCGTGGCCTGTTAGGAACTGGGCTGCCCAGCAGGAGATGAGCTTCCTCATGAGCCACCAGTACAGCCTGAGCTCCTGCTCCTGTCCAATCAGTGGTGGTATTAGATTCTCATAGAAACATGAACCCTATTGTGAACTGCGCATGCCTGATGATCTGACGTGGAACAGTTTCCTTCCAAAACCATCCCCACCCCACACCCTGGCTGTGGAAAAATTGCCTTCCACAAAACCCAGCCCTAGTGCCAAAAAGGTTGGGGACCACTGGTGTAGAGGTATCCTCGGTAGGACTGAGCAAGCTGGCAACCCTAATTATGTCTATTAGGACACCCCAAGAATGGCTTTCTGCTGGAAGTAAGAAGGGTTAATGCCTTATGGATGCATTTTCCAGGGCCAGGTTTCCCAAGGGGGTAAAGCATGTGTCTTTTGTGAAAAGGACCTGGATGCTAAACAGGCAACCCTGTCCCCCATCAACTTTCTCCTTAGAGCTATTTCCAGCTCCAGTGCTGAATGCATCCGTGACATCCCCGCTCCTGGAGGGGAATCTGGTCACCCTGAGCTGTGAAACAAAGTTGCTTCTGCAGAGGCCTGGTTTGCAGCTTTACTTCTCCTTCTACATGGGCAGCAAGACCCTGCGAGGCAGGAACACGTCCTCTGAATACCAAATACTAACTGCTAGAAGAGAAGACTCTGGGTTTTACTGGTGCGAGGCCACCACAGAAGACGGAAATGTCCTTAAGCGCAGCCCTGAGTTGGAGCTTCAAGTGCTTGGTGAGTGAGAATGATGAGAAGCCACTAGCGCAGGAGAAGGGACTCCCTTATCTCCCATGGAACTGAGGTTTGTTCAAGGGTTTCATGGCCCAAAGAGGAGGGGTAAGCCTCTTCAGGAAAAGCCCACAAGCAGACCTTTCCTTCCTTGATTCAGAACATCACTCTTCTCCTCGCAAAGTTTATTAAATTTCCTTTCCTTTCTTTTTCTTTTTCCTTTGCCTTTCCGTCCTCCATTTCTTTCCTTCATTTTCTCCTCTGTCCTTCTTTTCTTCTCCTTCTTTATTTTATTTTCCCCTCCCTCCCACTCTTCCCGCCACCCCATAACCCCCCTTCTCACTCTCTCTTCCTGCTTCCCTGTCTCCCTCCCCCTCACCAACAATCTCACCAACAATTTATCAAGTTCCTCCTATCTATTTTCGTAGGCCTGGAGATATAAAAATGTTTGAGCATAGTTTTTGCTTCAAGGAGCTCACAAGGTGGATTTATCAGACACTGATTTTGTAAACTGCAAATCACCACCTCCCCAAGTGTCTCTATGTAACTGAGGCAGAGGGATTGTGAGCTCCAGAACAAAGGCTCCTTGGGGGTGAAAAAAGTTAATCTTCAACCCGAATTCATTTCAAGTATTAAATGGCATAGAGATACCAGTTGTTTCTGGAACTAGGGAGTAAGTCCACGGACAGGGCCCAGCAATTAAGCTCTTCCAAGGAGCCTGTCCCCATCTATACACCATATAGCCAGTTAGAGCTACTGCCAGTTCCTTCCTGCTCCCTAAAATGATCAGTGCCTCCTTGAGGACAGGCACATCAGGTCTCAGTCAACCTTCCCCTCCAAACATAATTCAGCCAGACCCCTCTGGTCTCTAAATAGTATCTCTTCTCTTTGTCTTTTTCTGTTTCAGGCCTCCAGTTACCAACTCCTGTCTGGCTTCATGTCCTTTTCTATCTGGTAGTGGGAATAATGTTTTTAGTGAACACTGTTCTCTGGGTGACAATACGTAAAGAACTGAAAAGAAAGAAAAAGTGGAATTTAGAAATCTCTTTGGATTCTGCTCATGAGAAGAAGGTAACTTCCAGCCTTCAAGAAGACAGACATTTAGAAGAAGAGCTGAAGAGTCAGGAACAAGAATAAGAGCAGCTGCAGGAAGGGGTGCACCGGAAGGAGCCTGAGGAGGCCAAGTAGCAGCAGCTCAGTGGGTGGCCATCGATCGGACCATCCCCTGCCCACTTCCTCCCTGTGAGCACTGCACACAAACATCCAAAAGTTCAACAACACCAGAACTATGTGTCTCACGGCATATAACTCTTAAATAAAGCAAATAAATGAACTGACTTCAACTGGGATACATTTGGAAATTTGGTCATCAGAGATGACTTTAAATGAGGCCTACTCTAAAGAAATCTTGAAAAACTTACAAATCAAGCCTAGCTGATAATAATCCTATTACATAGTTTGAAAAATAGTATTTCATTTCTCAGAACAAGGTAAAACGATGAGTGGGTGCATATGTACAGAAGATTAAGATAGAGAAAGAGACAGAATGAGAGAGAGGGAGACAAAGAGATACACACACAGCCAGGAGTGGGCAGATTTCAGGGAGACAAGAGGGAATAGTATAGACGATAAGGAAGGAAATAGAACTTACAAATGACTCCTAAGGGACTGTGAGACTGAGAGGGCTCATGCCTCTGTGTTCAGGACACTTAGTTCATGGCTTTTCTCTTTGACTTTACTAAAAGAGAATGTCCCCGTGTATGTTCTAGGCATACAAGGGGGTAACTCATGATGACAGATGGATATATTATTCTTGCCCTCTCTTTTGAGGCTTTCTCATAACCGCTGTATTTCTAGAGACAACAAAAATGCTGCCAGTCCCAGGCCCTTGTCCTGTAGGAAGGCAGAATGTAACTGTTCTTTAACAATTAAGTCCAAATCTCCAAGTGCGGCACTGCAAGGAGAAACTTCAAGTAGGTAGAAGCGGCGATATCACAGAGTCCAGACCTTGCCTCCAGAGGTTTGCTTTACCTTCCTGATTTTCTGGTTGACTACTAACTAGCTTCAGGCTACGCTGCTCACACTTGGGCTGTAATTTGGAGACAAAATATTTTCCTGCCACTCTGTAACATAGCTGAGATAAAAACTGAACTATGTAAATGACTCTACTAAAAGTTTAGGGAAAAAACAGGAGGAGTATGACACACGTAGCAACTTGATTCTAGATTATTTGACCCGTGAATGATGGGTTGGAGCGTCGCGCGCCGAGCATGTCCCACGGCAGGGCGCTTGCGCCACACTGTGGCCGCCTGTGCATATTGCAGCCTCCGCCCCCACCCATCTGAGGGCCGCAGCCGCCGGCGCCCGGGAACCCAGCTGCGGCGAAAGCTGTTGGGCGCGTGCTTCTCCGCAGCTCCGCCCTCACCAAAACCCAGTGAGAAATTATTTGCATTCCTGGAGGCTGCAGGAGCGACAAATAAGCTCTAGGAGTCGGTAGGTGGGAGCAGCGGCAGGCGGATGGAAGAGGGCAAGGGATCGGCCGTTCGTGTCTGATTCGCCCGAGTCAAGGGGCAGTCCCCCAAAACCCCAACGTCATTGTTTCCTCTGGGCCGGCAGATGTGAAAATCCGGCGGCAGGATGCAAGTTCCGCAGTCCGCGAGGGCCCGCGGCCTCCCCAGGCACGTAGCTTTGAGTCGCTCCCACCCCGCCCCGGGCCTGCCTGCTCTCGGGCCCCGGTACGGCGCCACCTGGCGGCCGTCTATGGAGGTTGCAGCTGCCGTCTGTGGAGGTTGCAGCTGCCGCCAAGCCTTGGTTCTGCTGCGGGCCTGAGGTGCGCCAGGCCGAGCTTCCGCGGAGAGCAGGACTGATAGATCACAGGAAGCGAGAGGACGGCGCTGGGTTCCCAGCAGCCGTCCCAGCTTCTTGGACTGGCGCTAAAGCGGCCAGAGGCGGAGGCGGTAGGGAGAGAGCGGGTGAGGAGTGCGAACGGCCGCCCGCCTCCCCGTCCAGCTCGTAGGACCTCCCAGCTGGTTCCCTCGCCATCAGAAGCAGGAAGGGAGCTGGCTGGCTCCGCGGGATCAGCAAGCCCGCAGGCAAGAAGGCTCCAGGCTCCGCAGGGGCCAACCCACATGGACTCGGAAACCGCCGAGCTTCACCCACAAGGGTCCACGACCCATCCTATCACGGATGAAAAGATTACAGGACTGACAATGAGGCCCTGGAAGGATCTGATGCATCTGGTGGGGAGGAGGGTGGGTCGGACTTTTGGGGGATCGCGGGGTGGAAGAATGTCTTTCTTCTCCCTGGGACCTACTGAGGCTTCACCTGTGAGGGTCTTGGGCCCATCCTTCAATCCGAGGGCTTCCAAGTCAAAGCACAACTCCCCAGAGTGGACAGGCGGAGTAGAACCGGCATTAGGTTGGGAGGGTGGGTCGTTGTGGGTCGTTAGCGGTCGTTCCTCACCTTTCAGGCTCGGTATGGAGACCTCTAAATTCATTGTAGGACCACAAGAGCTTCTGTAAGAGTCCGGGCCGTTTCAGAACACTCAGAGGTTCCTAACCTGAGAAGTAATCCCCAAAGCAGACCAACCCGGTTTGGGGTAAAACAGGAATAGCTTGGTCCATTCTGGATCTTTCCTAGCTAAATGCCTTCAGGATTTAGGAATCTTTTCCTAGGAGGGCCAAGGATTAGCTAGACCTGCCCAGCGATTCCAGCCCTGAGAACCAGACAGAATGGAGGCACAGCTGACAGCTGGCTGGGAGGGGGCTGACGGTCCTCACTGCCACCAGGCTTAGTTGAGACAGATCCCCCAAGCTGTAGAGAAGACAACAGAAGCAAGGAGACCAGTTAGGAATCTAGGTGAGAGGCAGTGGCAGTCTGGACTAACATGGTAACAGTGGAGCTATTGAGAGTGGTCACATTTGGAAGATGTTTTGTAGGAAGAGTCAACAAAGTTTCTTATTGATTAGATGTAGGGAATGTGAGAAAGAGAAGAATGGGAGGGAAAACACCTAGATTTTGGGCCAAAGCAATAAATAGTCCATTGACGGAAATGAGAAAGCAAGTTGGAGGAGGGGAACAGGGTAGCAAGAAGCAAAAGTTTCATATTGGACATGTTAAGATTCCTATTTGACATTTAAGTGTAACTGTTGAAAAAGCAAGGGATATATGAAGAATCCTGGACTAGAGATACAAATTTGCCAATCGTCATATAGATGTGGTATTTAGAGTCAGAGGACTAGAAAGGACAATGTGAGGGGGAAGTACAGATAGAAAAAGGTCTAAGCCTGAACCGTGAAACATGCCACATTTTAGAGGTTGCGTAGAAGAGGTGACAGCAGAGGATACTGATAAGGAGTAGCCAGTGAGGTAGGAGGAAAAACAGAGAAGAAAATGCCTCAAGAAAGAGAGATCAACTATGTCAAATTCTCCTGAGAAAACGATTGGATTTGGAGTGGGACTGCACTAAATCTGTAGATCTTTTGGGGGCGGGAGGGAGAGGGTTAGGGAGGATTGATATCATTCCAACATTGACTTTCCAATCCATGAACTCTCCATTTATTTATTTATGTCACTGTTACTGTCTCACAACAATATTATAATATTCTCTCTAGATGTGTTAGATGTATTCTTAGGTCCTTCATTTTTGTGTCATTGTAAATGGTATTGTTAGAATCTTCAGAAGTAATTATTGGCCACATGCGTGTAATCCTAGCACTTTGGGAGGCGGAGGCAGGCAGATGCTTGAGTCAGGTGTTGGAGACCAGCCTGGGCAACATGGCAAACCCCATCTCTACAAAAAATACAAAAATTAGCCAGTGGCACACGCCTGTAGTCCCAGCTACTCGGGAGACTGAGGTAGGAGGATCAATTGAGCCCAGGAGGTGGAGGCTGCAGTAAGCCAAGATCGCACCACTGCACTTCAGCCTGGGTGGCAGAGGGAAATCCTGTCTCAAATAATAATAATAATAAAAAAATTGATTATTACCAGTCTCATAGCTGAAGTAGAAATTTTTAAAAAAAAATAAGTAAGTACTGCATTTATTCACTCCAAGAAAAGTAAAAGCTAAGGCCCAGAATGTGGCAAGTCAAGGGTTAAAAGAAGAGAACAAGTTTTCCTCTGCCTAGCAAGCTCACTTCAAGGACAATTATAAGATAACGCTGTCCGAATAGCCAAGGCCAAAGGAATAGGCTCCAGACACCTCTCCCTTCCAGAGCAAGGTTGAAGGAAAAAAAAGAGAAAGACAGATTCTTCTACTGTTACTCTTTCCCCCAGGCTTCTTAAACATTATTATTTACAAATGTCTGTATTTAGCCAGTTTTTGTTTTTCTTTCAATGCAACTACAGGGTCACCAGCTATGCAAGGTCCCAAGTTATGTTATGCTATAGATTACATAACCTGTCACTGTATGATTAACTGCTTTTGTTTTGCTTCTGTAAGGCCGCTTCTAAAAACCCCACTCTGTCTTTGTCCAATGCTCAGCTTTTTAGATGCAAATCTAAAAACTGAAAGACCAAATATAAAAACTGAAAGACCTTAAGACACATATATCTTAAGCTTGGCAATGGAAAGCAGGATGTCACACACACACAAAGCTAGTAATGTGAAAATCTGGTCTTGCATAAGGTCTTTTAGGTTTAGACTTCTTTGTTAATGCACATTGGCAGGAAAATGGGAACCAATAAAATTGTTTGCTGTCCTTCTCCCTCTATTCTCCACTTCTGGTTTTGTTTCTCAATGTGGGGTCAAAACTTCCAAAGGGTAAGAAGCTCATTTTTCTGCCTTTCCCCTTCATCTCCCTATCGCACTAGGTACATACTACTCCTTAACACTTAGAGAAGATTTAAAAAGAATAAATTGTGGAGAGGGAGCATATGTGAAAGTAAAAGATTCCCAGACATAAAATGGGAGTTAATGGAGAAAGAAAATCTCTAAGGAAGACTGGAAATAATTGGGTTAGGGATTCTCGAGAAGTAAACTAAATTCCCCAAATGTGGTATTCTCTGAGAAGATAATTTAATTTTGAAGAAGAAATGGCATGCTATCCAGTGAAACAGCGGTCCTCTGGAGCCTGGCTGTGACTTCAAGGCCCACTTCTGGAAGGTCAGAAAAAGACCTCAAAGAGGAGAAATGGGCATTTACGTAGGTTTATAAGTACCATCTTTATTTTAGAAAATAATCATTTTCTACCTTGAATTCTAGTTTCTTGTGACGAAAGATTGTAAAATTTCGGGACATGACTGAATTGAAATCTTGGTCCTGCACTTCTATAGTTCCTTGAATTGCAATTTCTTATCCCAATCATTTTATCCTTTCATTCTACTATGAAATCTATATCATGGCACGTAATAGTCAACTTTATTATTTTAATTTACCGAATGCTTATTTACCTTTCATGGGTTATTTCATTTAGCCTTCATAATATCTGTTGTTGTCATTGCCTCACACTCAGTAGGTGGCTTTTAATACTATTCTATTATTTTGATCAATTTGTATGATATGAATGTTCTCTCCTCAGTGTTTGGTAATGCTGTCTGGGCTTGCTTTTGTTTGGTTTTTGAGACAGAGTCTTGTTGTGTCACCCAGGCTGGAGTACAGTGGCGCAATCTCAGCTCACTGCAATCTCTGCCTCCCAGGTTCAAGTGATTCTCCTGCCTCAGACTGCCAAGTAGCCAGGATTATAGGCACACGCCACCACACCCGACTAATTTTTGTATTTTTAGTAGAGACGAGGTTTCACCATGTTGGCTAGGCTGGTCTCAAACTCCTGACCTCAAGTGATCCACCCACCTCACTCTCCCAAAGTGCTGGGATTACAGGTGTTGAGCTGCCACACCCAGCCTTGGTACTATTTTTAAGCATATGTATATCTGATTTTCTGTTTATCTTACAGTTATTCTTTATTCAGGTATTTTACTTTTCTTAGCTCAACTTTGGTAATGTGTATGGAAAAGTCACCATTTTGTCTACAATTGCAAATATATTTATATCAAAAATACACATCACTTTAGTATCTTCTATATCTAATATTACTTATGTGCTTTTTCAATAGTAAACTTATGGAAGGATTAACTCTAATTTTCTTTTCAGAGAACAGCCTTTGGTTTTATAAATTCCATTTTGGTGGAATAGGAAGGTATGATCTGTTTCATTGACTATGCTTTCATCTTAGTTTGTTCCTTCTACTTTACACAGGTTTTTGTTGTGTTCCTTTATTAGTGTTTGAGTTAAAAACTTAATGCTCTCTCTGTTGCTCAGGCTGGAGTGCAGTGGCATGATCTCAACTCACTGTAACCTCCGCCTCCCAGGCTCAACGATCCTCCTGTCTCAGCCTCCCTAGTAGCTGGGACTATAGGCATGCACCAGCACATCCAGCTAATTTTTGTATCTACTGGAGACACAGGGTCCTGCCATGTTGTCCAGGGTGGTCTCCAACTCCTGAGGCAATAATTGGGAGTCCAAGGCGATCTGCCCACCAATTATTTTCTCTTAAATGCATTTTAAAGCTACGAATTTTCTCCTGACTGCTTGACATAGGTTTAATATTATTTGCCATGAAATATATTCCACAGTGGAATGACAGATAATTAGGGTAAGAAATAGCAATTCAATGAGTTATTTAAATATAGGGCTGAGATTTGAATTCTAGCTTACTGGGACCAAAGCTTGTGAAGTCTCAGGGTATGGTTGAATTATAGTGCTCTTGTTATTTCTAAAGAGTGTGTAATTTTTATTCTGATATCCCTTTTAACCCATGTGCTTTTTCCTAAGAGTACATCTTAAGGAGGGCATGTTTGATTATTTTATTGTTTTATAATCAGTTAACTATGCCCTGGTCCTATATGGTTTCAGCTTTTCAACACTTGAGACTTAATTTGCCATCTCACTTATGGTCAATTTTTGTCAATAGTCCATGTGAATCTGAAAATAAGGTAACTTTCCTATTTTGAATATAAGATGGCATAGGCATAATTATAGTTATGATTAATCTTATTAACCATGTTCTTCAAATTCTCCATATCCTCAATAAGTTTCAATCAACTGGATCTGTCAATTCCTAAGAAAGGTGTATTAAACTTATCACTGTGATTGTTGACTTACATGCACATATATGTATCCTTGTTAAATGCAAATAATTCATGGTCATTCCTTAATGGAGCACTACCTTTATGAATATGAGATACCCTTCTAGTACCATATATAAATGTATTTTTAAACCTTTTTTTTTTTTTTTTTTTGAGAAAGGAACTTGCTCTGTCACCCAGGCCAGAGTGCAAAGGTGCAATCATAGCTAACTGCAGCCTCGACCACCTAGGCTCAAGCAATCCTCCTCCTTCAGCCTCCTAAGTAGCTGGGACTACAGGTGCATGTAACCATGCCTGGCTAATATTTTTACTTTTTATAGAGACAGGGGTCTTGTTTTGTAGCCCAGGCTGATCTCGCACTCTTGGCTTCAAATGATCCTCCTGCCTCAGCCTCCCAAAGTGCCAGGATT